TAATTGAGTAATGTTTAAATAAAAATTTATATTTTAAAAAATATAATACAAACTAACTTAAAATCTATATTTTTGAAAAATATATATTAAAATTTGAGGTTTAGATGATTGTGGAATTTTGGAATGTTTAAAAATATTTTTAAAAATAAATATAATGATCAAGTGGATAAATTAACTTAAATCTATATATGATTGAGATAAGTATTTTCATCATTGATTGAATCAAAGACATCTTGGTGGTATGTTAGTGTTGAGCAAGCCACAATAATGTTCTTGTATTAATGATTGTTGTGCAGGAATATCATTGATTGAATCAAAGAAATCTTGGTGGTAAGTTGAGCAAGCCACAATAATGTTCTTGTATTATGATTGTTGTGCAGCAATATCTATTTAAAACTATATTTGATTGAGATAAGTAATTTAGAAATATTAAAATAATTTTTATAACAAGAAAATGATTTCAAAAATAATTAAAGAGTATAATTAAAAAATGATTGTCATTTAGTTTTTGAATATTAATATTTTTCTTTTTTACACCAATCAAAAACATCTAAAACTGTTGATTGACGTTTCATATATATAAATGTTTGTAATTATTTATAAAGCAAAGCGATGACATTAGTGGCGTAGGCATGGGGGGTGGGGTTCAACCCCCACCCCCTTCCTTTATGAAAAATGAAAAATTTAAATTTTTTAATAAATTCTTAATAAACGCTTGATTTTTATGTTTTAAATTTATTATAAATAATAATAGATATACACATTTGATTATTTTTATATTTATTTTTGTATTTAAAAAAAAAGGATAAAATTGAAATTTAATATTGATAAAAATTATTATATAAAACGCTATTATTTAAAACGCAATATTTATAATATAATAAAATTAAAATAAAATAAAATGCGACCAATCAATTCATATTATTTCGATTACTCAATATTTGATTAATTTATTCTACTTCAATTATTCTTATTCTTATTCAAATTCGATATTCATTAAATTAATTCTATTTCGATTATTCGGCGATTCTTATTCAATAATACATATATTCTAAAATTATAATAACAAATTATGATAATAATTAACAAAAGGATGACAAAGTTGAATCACATACTAAACCATTAAAGATTTGGAGGGAGCAAGGCAAGATAAGATTTTACAGCGAAAATAACTATCATTTGCCAAGACGAAACTATGACAGATTTTATGATCAAAATAGATGGGTAACTCCTTGAACACGAAAGATTTACATATAAAGAGAACCTAGGCGGGGTTCCTGAAGAGGGTGGAATGTTGAACATGGATTAATATTTTATTATAATGGTTATTATTTAGCGCAAATTTTTGTATCTTACATTCATTAAATTAACACCATTTTTTCATTTGAATTTGAAATAACATGTTACTGTTCAAAAAATTTTGTAGAGACCATGATATACATCACTTTCTGACTTCAGTTCACCATCAACAGTCAAACGAGAAACAATTTTTTTTATTATATAAATATATTTTAAAAATATTAAACTACAATTTAACTCCAAAACTATAATAAATTTATCCTTTATATATACAAAAAATCTATTAAACAATTAAATGAAAAAATGGTGTTAATTAATGTAAGATACAAATGCGCTAAATAATAACCATTATAATAAAATAATAATCCATGTTCAACATGTTCCTGGGCCAGGAGTGGGTTTTTGATAAAAAGCCTTATATTCGCATACTGTGACTGACTTAAAAATATATTGCATTTTTTTTCTTCTAATGATAATAAATTTCAGTATTGCAAACAAAGTGATTGCCTAAATACATTTAAATATGGTTTATTTTCATTTAAAGCAATAAATTAAATTTTTGGATATGAACTTGGGCCAAATTTTTAAAACTTATGATGGTCTTGGGTAATTTTTTTTATTAAATATGGAATGAGCCTGCAAATTATTTTTACTGCTTACCTGGGCTGGAGACTGATGAATAAATCAAGGCCCGTGAAGGTCTCTAATTTCAATAACTGAATTATTTCATTTCCCATTTAACTTTATTTGAACTTAAAGGAATGAGCAAACCATAGATATGCATTAATCATTTGCAAATTTTTTTTTGATAATTGCTGGATTCAAGAAATTGTTGGACACATTGAAATAAAGAAGGCCATTGTGAAATATATGATGCAAATATTAATCCATTTTTTTAGCATAAATAGTAAATTTACTAATGTGCCTGGGCCAGGACTGGGTTTATGATAAAAGCCTAAAAATTTTTCATTTAAATTTAGCATATTAAACTGTGACTAACTTAAAAATATATTGCATTTTTTTCTTCTAATGATAATAAATTTCAGTATTGCAAATAAAGTGATTGCCTAAATACACTTATTTATTTTCATATAAAGCAATAAATTAAATTTTTGGATATGGGCTTGGGCAAAATTTAACTTAAGATGGACTTGGGTTTGAATTTTTTTTATATTAAATATGGAATGGGCCTGCAAATTATATTTACTCCTGACCTGGACTAGAGGTTGATGAATAAATCAAGGCCCGTGAAGGTCTCTGATTTCAATAACTGAATTATTTCATTTCCTATCTACTTTATTTGAACTTAAAGGAATGGGCAAACCATAGACAAAAAAATTTCTGATAATTGCTGGATTCAAGAAATTGTTGGACACAAGGAAATAAAGAAAGCCATTGTGTAGTTATACATGGAGGAAATATTAATACATTTTTTAGCATAATAAATAAAAATAATGCTGGTTGTGACCTTCCCTTAAATTTACATATATTTTAGGGATTTTTTAAGAATCCGTTATCAAAAATATAAGTTACTAGCTGATAGCCCGTCAAGAATGACGGGGAATAAGAATTTTCTTCTTTATTGAATGGTGAACGAATAATAAATTTTACCTTTACAGAAATTTTCTTATCTTATGAAATGTGATAATTTATTTAGATGAGGGGTTATTCTAAAATTTTTAATTATATTTTATAAAATAATTGTCCTTAAGTCATCACTATGAATCTGATGTATGGACACTCTTTTTTTTAACAAATAAGCCGGTAAGTCACACTCAGCTATTAGTTGTTTTACAGATTGACATCTAAAACAGGGGCTTATACTAGCGGATTAGACTTTTGCACTCCATTTTTGTGATTATTGGATTCCAAACAATTTATCACTTGTTTCGGTCTCTTCGGAATGATGATCATCTGGAGGTAGAATGGACCACAGCCCATGAGAGGTAACTCCTTTTTATACAAATTTATTTTTATTATTTTTATATTATCGTTAATTTATTATATTTCATCACTTAACATTTATAAGTATTTTAAAAAAATTATGAATTTTATTTTTTAAAATTAAAATTTTAACTGATACAAAATTAATTTGTAAACACACAACTTAATCTGCTATATATGTAATTAACAAAAACATCTCTTTTTTTTTCTTTGACAATATTCACAACTAAAATCAAATATGAATTTTATTATCTTTTTCCCCACACATTTTAATAACAATTTCATAAGTTATATATTTTTTCCTTTACAAGACATATTTTACTGAAACAGAATTAATTTGTAAAAAAACTTTAATCTACTTGTAATTAATTAACTAAAACTCTGATTAATCTAATTTAAAATGAAAATATTCTCAAATATTTGACTTCCCCCATCTAGACTTTTATATCATTAAAATATGAAGAAGAATTCAAATTAATACTCGAAAACATAGTTAACCACCAAATTAGCTGGCTACAAACGAACTTCCCAACATAATCCGATGAACTTTTATAAAACATTTCTGAAATCCTCCAATATTTTTTTTTAAAGATTTATAAAAATTAAAATAAAGAAAAAATCAAGTCTTAAAATTATCATCATAATTAGAAGAAGCTAAATAATGTATCAATATAATTCTCAGAATTTGACAAATTTTTAGATTCTTTAACCTCCAGGTCATGTATAATAATGACATCCCTCGTTTTAGTCATAATATAAATATTTCGAAACGTAGACATTTTTTCAAAAACTTGATTTGAATTTAAAGGGTAAAATTCGCAGATATCTTCAATGTTATCCTTAACGGATTTTTCCGCCAAGACCTTAAGTATAAAAAATTAGGTTTGATTTAAAAATTTCATTGATTCATCACAAATCAAGTGCAGCAACGATCACCATTACCTCTAACAATAGTTTCTTTTATTTCTTCTCTACTAACAAATAAAATCTCATTCTTAAATTAATTAAACCTTTTGATAATATCATGTTAAACGATGCCTTTAAAAGATGGTTGGCTAACACGTCCATCGGCCCAATCTATCCACTATCTAGCTCACAAAAAGATGAGATGATGCTGCCCGTGTCATGCTTCTTCGATTATATACTTTTGAGCAATGCCAAGTAATGGTAAATCAGTTTATGAATGGTTTCGATAAACTTTTAACATATAAGGAATTCAGATAGCCGTAGCTCTCAGGCTAGGTTTAGAATCAACCTTACAACTGTCAAAGTACTGCCTGATTTTAAAGGTGGACATCCCCTACATTTCCTCGTCAACAGATAAAAATATATAAGGCATGAAAAAACATCCAAAATTCATTATCCAAAGCCGATGTTCTTTCACATCTTGAACCTCGAGATACTTCAGTTATAAATAATTATCGGTCTTATGGACGCATTTTAACTTTGATTTAAGGGGAAATACGTGAACTGGGACATCACATGCATAGACATATAGGTCCCCTCCAATAATAATTATGATTCATTAGGAATCACTGAAATAGGAAATTTCTATAAATATTAGCACTTAGCTGTAGTAAACTTGTTTTAAATTCATATTATCTTACATTTCTAATATTTTTTGCAAGATTAAATAAATATTTTGAATATTATTCATCAAAAAAATAATAATTAAGTTTCATATAATCTTAGGCAAGCTTTTGAGTAAATTAGTCAATACAAATGATTTTTATAAAAATTCTGTGAGAACAATATAAATAATTCAATATAAATTAGCGAATAGCAAGTACCCTGAAGTGCCATAACAATATTTTTGCGTATATCTCAGTGATTTTACTACATTTAAATTTCCCATCATTACATTTAGCGATCCGTGTATTTGATATAATAACTATTTTTAACTGACAGTAAAAAAAAGTCAAAAATCAATAAAATAGAAATTCCTTTTTTTTAATTTTGGTAATAATGGCCGCCCTGGTTTTTGTTATCGTCGTAATATCCTCCTGACCCTCCCCCTTGGCTAAGATTGTTTGATATATTTTTTCCCCTGTTGTTAGGGTACCGCATTCTTTGAATAGAAGCTGGATCGTTCATATTAGGGTGAAAATTATTAGAACCTAAGGCTAAATTTCTATTAGACATTTGATGCGACGGGTAATTATTATTTGGTTGCTGTTGCATTTGGTGTTGAGAGGGTTGATTATTGGGGTCAAAATTGTAAATAGCCTGTTGAGAAGGGACAGGCCCGGCAGCCATCATATGTGAAGGAAGTCTCCTTGTGTTGTTAGCGAGATTATTTATGTTCGCCGTGGAGAAATTAGAGTTGTTACCTGAATTATTTAATATAGAAAAGTTAGAATTATTCGCTTGATTATTCATATTTGCCATGGATAAATTAGGATTATTAGCTGGAATATTCATGTTAGTCATGGATAAGTTGTTAGGTGGATTGTTCATATTTATCATGGATACGTTAGGGTTGTTATTAGACCAATTTGCGAATCGAGATAGAGGATTATTTCTAATTTAAATTGTTGGTAAAGTTATAAAAATAAGATAGATAAATAAAAATAAGATAGATAAATAAAATGTAATTTATATAATACGGTTTGTGGTGATATATCATGGTCTGTTTATCTGATTGCAAGTCGGTTACAGAGGAAGAATACGAAGGAGGTCTTTTTATATTACCATGAGAATTTTGATGCATTGATATTTTTCTTTTGGGGGTATTTTCCATCATGTGTTTTGTATAATCTTAACCAAAAAAACCCATAAAACAAAGTTAATTAAAACTTTAAAATGAGAAAGTTGTGTATTGTGCATGAAACGAATTTTGATAATGGGCAATATAATGTTATATAGATCTTATCTAAATTTAACCTTCATTTCCAACGTTTTGTTGGTGCATTTTAGATAAACCGATGGCTATATTTTCTGTGGACAAAAACATTTTCGAAGCGTTTTCTTCATTGTCAAAATCAAAGTGGTCAAAGGACTGATCCAAACTACCTGTATATTTTAAAATATAATAATTGTAGCATTATCTAATGTGACATATCAGCCATGATGTAGCCGTTTTAAAAAATCATGCGCTCAACGAAACGTTTTATTGGAATATAAAATATTTTAAACATTGCTAATATAATTTAAGTGTACTGAGCACGCTTTAATCCATCCCCCGTTATGAATAAATAATTAGATAAAATAGGGATATTATAAATAACCTTGCTTATTTGAGTTATTAAAAGCTGCGCCAGAAACCTTGTTGGGATGAATGTGACCTACTAACTCGTTATTGTATCCGCTGGGTCTTATAAACGGTTGATTATTATTTTTATCTGTGGAAAAATTGCTTGTTTTGTTAGAATAAACTTGTTGTTCTAAGGACGGTTGGGGATACCGCAGCCGACCGGTGGGGGCTATGTTATATCCTTCGATATCGGATAAAACGCCCTCAAATCGATATTTGTCGTTGAAGGGATGCTGTTGCCTCATTTTTGAATTATCATAATTAGGATAAGGGTTGGCCCCTGGATGGCTGTTATACTGTAAATTGTCGCCGGAATTCATATTTCTTTGAGGAGGCGGTCCAAAGTTACGCGGTTTATTTGCCATTAAGGTATGGTTATTAGGTATAGATTGTTGTTGCTGATGGAGAGGGTGATATTGTGTGGTATTGTCCGGTCTAGGGGTCTGAGGGGTAAATCTGGAAGGACCACTACCGATGGAAGATGGAGGGTATCTGATGCTTTGAGGATCAATTCCTTGTCTAAGCGGTTGTTGATAAGCGAAAGAAGGGTTATTAGAGGTAGAGGTAGGACCATGTGAAGGATTTTTGGCTCTTAGCATAGAGCTCAGGGCGGCTTTTGAGTCCGTAAGATTAGAATTGACTCCCGATATAGGGTTGTTGATGTTCAAATAAGCTTGTTGCTGCCTTTCGTAACCTTTTAAAATATTAAATTATTATTTTTTTGTAATAGAGTTAAATGAATCGGTATGTATAAAAGAAACAATTTTAGATTTATTCAATCTCTATAAGAAAACTTTGGAAACAACGTATTTTTTTTAATATGCTAAGGAAAGTAAACTTTCATCCATAGAAGACGACATATTATGGTTAGTAAAACCAGGTTTTTTTTGGATCATATTATGCTGATGATGCATCATACCAGCGCTGTGCTGCCTAATTAGATATTGTTGATTTCCAGCTGACCCCATTTGTTGTTGATTAGTATAAGCGGAAGTGTGAACGACTTTTAACAAAGGAGGTTCGGCCTTAAATGTTGAATGAATCTGTTGTTTTGGAGGATTGTTTAAGGGATGATTATGAATCATGGGTTGATTTTGGTGTTGTTGTAATTGAAGGAGTTGTGCCTGCTGGTTTTGTTTAGCACTTGAAGCCTATACGAGATTGTGAATTTATTTTTGAAAGATATAGTGCTGAAGTCGGGTTTGAAAAAAAGGACAAAAGAAAATAAAATACGATTTATTCCGACTTTAATATGTGAAGCAAAAGAGATTAAATTTAATATTTTTTTAAAAAATTTTCAAATATATAACTTATATAATATTATATTTAAAAAAAATTAGAGAAGAGTAAATATGAAAATATGTTTTAAAAAAATTATATAAAAATATAACAAATAATTTAATAAAGAAGCCCATTTATTAATGAATTTTTCTTAATAATGGATAATAATGAATTAATAAACATTCTCCCATATTTTATTTTTATTTTGCAGATAACTTAAAAATGTAAGTATAATGAATACAATTGGATGTGATATCGGATGGATAATCGGACGATATCAATTTAATATCGGTAATATTGGATCGGGTCAGCTTCCAAAAAGTGGTATCGTTACTAAAAAAATTAATAACGAAAAAGTCCTAATAAGAAAATGAGGATTTCTCAAAAGGTATTCACTTTAGTTGATGAAGGAAGAGCATTTTTAGGTTGTCTTTTTCGACGTTGTTGCTTGGGCTTTTTGGGTGCAGCAGTAACAATAGGATTTAGACGTTGATTATTTTCCGCAATTAATAAAGCATTGGGATTGCTAGGCTGAAATTTTATTAAAAAACCAAAAAAACTTTAATTAAAATCAAAATACATTTTTTATATTTGATCAAATCTCTTGAGTATATTTTAGATGAAATAAATGTGCTTACGCTACAAGGTTTAAAGTCAATATATATTCTTCATACCGATCAAATCTCTCTTATGTTACAAAATTTAAAGTCATAATATTTAATAAATATAAATTGCAGATTTCGACATCACACATTGATAAAATCGCAGAATATAATTGTTCAAGGTTAAATTATAGAAAAATATATACTTTAAATTAGAGATCTGCAAAGTTAGGCCCGGCCCGTACCCAGTCCGAGTCCGGCCCGAACGGGCTTCGGGCCGGGCCTAATATTTTTAAAAAAATTCGGGTCGGGTCGGACCTTGAAAATTTTATTAAATATATCTAAATTTATCAATTTTATATTAAATTTTTTATGTAAAATAAAATTTTTTATGTTTATCAATTTTATATTAAATTTTTTATGTAAAGTAAAATTTTTTGATTTAATTTATTGAAACTAAACGCTATATAACATATGTCTTTTATTTTAAGTAATTATAAAAATTAATTTCTATATTTAAATAAATTCGGGCCTGACCGAGCCGGTAAATTTTTTTAAAATAAATTTCGGGTTTGGGCCGGCAAAACTTTTAAACAAAATTTCGGGCCGGGCGCTTTAAAAATTAGGCCCGATGTAGATCACTACTTTACATTGTGTTAATAATATTTATGTAACTAAAATGCTATTACCCCCACCCCTTTTCTCCTCTTTCTTAAAAATTGTCCAAAAAGAAAATGGTACCGGATAAACACTGGATTCGATGTTACATGCCTCGTATGCATTAATGCTGAACTCTGATTTGATGTCCCTAGCGATGACAATCGATTCTGACTTATCACTTATCGGTTCTTCTTTTATTCGAAGAGAAACGGAAGGAAGAATAAGGTGCCCACCTAATTATGTTCAATTGCAATATTATTTTAAATCGTCATTTGGTAAAATGTATGAAAACCTAGGGATTTTAAACACATATTAATAATCAATATTATGTAAGGGTATCAAAATAGTGAACAATATTCAAATTTGTTATGAATTTATATATAGTCCCACCTGCCGGTGTGTCCCCACTAGCGAGAAGAGTGGGCGATTGAGGTGGAGAGGCATCGGGAAGGGTTTGCAAAGAGAAAGCCTGGTGGTGAGAAAATTCAGCCGCGCCAACTAAATGGTGAGTGTGAAGCAAAAGAGATTCGTATTGTGATACGTAACTCAGCGGTTTGAAAGAAGCAGTTTTGCGAGCGTTGAACCATGATAAACTGAGAGGACCGCTTGCACCGCCCATCGATTTGGGGAGACCCTCGATCAGTTCCCATGGGTTGAGAGTCACGATCTCGGTGGCCTTGAGACCGATTACCTAATTTATTTGGGATTTTACAATATTATATAAATATGGTATTTTTATATAATGAATGCTAAAAGTTTAAATTAATAATTCGGATTGACTCCCTTTGTGCTATTTTTTTCACCCCTTTCATTATTCATTATTAAGATGTTATAAATTAGGCCTATTAAATCGAATAAATTTGTTTTATTTGGATATTTAAACCGATTGAATTAAAAATATTTAGTCATGTGATTTCTAAAACGCGGTTATTTCACAAATTGTTAAATTTTTCATTTTGTCACACTTTTACAGAGTTATAATGTCCCGTATCCATCTAAAACAAAGAAAATTATAATTAAAATTGTAATATTCATACCATAAAATGAATGAATACGCATGAGGTTATTTATGAATTAAATGGAATATAATTGATAATGATAATTCTTCAGATAAATAAATTATATATTTTTTTATGAAACGAAATTTCGAATTACTAATAATTTAGTATGAAATTAATTTAAATAGTGAGAATAATAATATTAATATTGATTACCCAATAAATTAATAATTTTGAAGTATGAAATGAATATTCAAATTATTATTAATTAATTTAGTATTTTGCATAATGATATTAATTTAAATGGTGAGAATACTGATATTCATAATGAAAATCCTATAAACAAGTTAATAATTTCAAATGTGAAATGAATATTCAAATTATTATTAATTTAGTATGGAGGCGCAGCCAGGAGTTTGCTTTAAAGGGGGACAATTTTTGAAAATATTCTAAAAATGAACATCAGAATGACTAAAAAAAATTAAAATTTCTAATACCTAGATAAATCTATAAAATTAACAATTATAAATTTATGCACAAAAATTCTGTTATAAAATATTTAATGAATATATATAACGGGCATAACTACAAGTTTTATACTAAAAACTTGGTTTCTGCATTTTTGGAATGGGAACGGTTAAAAATGATGACTATAAAATAAATTTGTGCTGAAAAAAAATTGTATAAAAATCTAAATTAGAATTATTGATTATAAAAAATGGCCCAAATTCTAATATACAAATTTTATTTAAAAATTTATTAATATATGGATTAATATACAAATATTCTTAAGAATTATTACATGTATAACCCGGCAAGGTATTTATTTATGAACAAAATATATGCAATTTCTGAGGTAGAGACAGGGGTAAAACAATTGTTTTTACATTTTTGTCATAACATTTTTAAACATAAATGAAACCAAGGAAAATTATAGATCTATATATAGCCAAATTCCTCATCTACAAAATGAAATAAAAGTGTAGCTCTCAAACTATCACGTTAGGAGCTGTGATTAATTATGTGAAGTGTGCCATTTTCCCCATTTTATACCATACCCAGGGTATAGTGGTAAGCATCAGGGTAAAAGGAATCAAATAAAATTGAATATAACTATATTGTTTAATTGAACAAAATATTGCAATTTTGTAATCTATTCATCACTTTTAAGTATAAACAATACAATACCGAGATGTAAAGAATTATATCAAAAATAGTACTTCGGAATGTCTCTCCCAAAATCCTACCTTCAGCCTCATCGTGGCGGGGGAGTGGCAACGTCTTTTGGCGGCTAATGGAGGTCTAAAAGGTTCCCTGTGATCTGGGTCTAGAATAGGATCACCGTCTCCTCGACGGGGTGTAAAAACCACTTAAAGACGTTGATGTCAGGAAGGGCATCCGATTGTCAAAACCTTGCTACAAAATTTCCCTATGGTTACAACAAAGCATGGGCGGGGTACAGCCTAAAGTACCCCGTGGGCCTCCTCATCCGTCTACGACAAAAGGAAGGATGGGAAACCTGGTGGAACCACTATTCATAAAAATAAAACTTATGACGGCCATAAACGACCTGATAAAAAGTGGAGAAATCAGTTTACGGGTGATCGAGTTAGGGTCGCGACATGGAATATTGGGAGTATGACGGGAAGAGCGGGAGAAGTCTTCGATGTATTGCACAAAAGGCATATAGATGTGTGCTGCATACAGGAGACTAGATGGAAAGGAAATGGGACCAGAATGATTGGCAAGACTAGCGAAAAGTATAAATTCTTTTGGCAAGGAGGTAATGATGGTAAGGCCGGAGTTGGGGTATTGGTTGCGGAGAAATTGGTAGACAAAGTAGTCGAAGTGAGAAGGCTAGACAACCAGATAATGGTTATCAAGATGATTTTTGGTAGAAAGCTATATAATATTATCTCGGCATATGTTCCTCAGGTTGGAAGAAGTGAAGAAGAGAAAGATATATTCTGGGACAGTCTATTGGGGGTGACATCGAGACTGGCAAATGAAGAGGGGATTATCTTGGCTGGTGATCTGAATGGACATGTGGGAGTGAGTAGTGAGGGTTATGAAGGAATACATGGAGGGTTCAGTTACGGCATGAGAAATTTGGAAGGAGAGAGGATTTTAGAATTTAGTGATGCGATGGATATGATTGTCTGTAATACAATGTTTAAGAAAGAATCAGAGAAGCTGGTGACTTATAAGTCGGGTAGTACCAAAAGTGCTGTGGATTACTTGTTATTAAGGAGATGTGATCGATGTATAGTAAAAAATGTGAAAGTGATACCGGGAGAGGAATGTATAAATCAGCATCGACTAGTTGTAGGAGATCTCACTCTTAAAGGTGCCAGGGTCACTAAAAGAAAGTTTAACCCAAGGCTGAAGGTTTGGAAATTGAAGGAGGAGAGTGCTAGACTTCAATTCAATATTGCATTGGCGATTAGGGAGGCGGAGGTGGCACAAGCATCTGTGGTGAATGACAAGTGGGAAGCCATGAAGAAAGCCTGGGTAATGACAACTGAGGAGGTATGTAGATGGACAAAAGGGCCGCCTAGACATAAGGAGACTTGGTGATGGAACCCGAAGGTAGCGAAAGCCGTGGATGAGAAACGGAGGTGTTCCAAAGTATGGAATAATAGCAAAAAAAATAGTGATAATGATATTTACAAGATGGCTAAAAGAAATGCCAAGAAATTAATAGCGAAGGCTCAAGAAGAAAAAGACACGAGTTCAGGGTTGGCAAGTCGGTCAATTGACCAGTCAAATTCAGTCAATTGACGGGTCAATTGACCGGAGGAGTATTTGACCTGTCAAATACGGTCAAATACTCTAAAAAATTTAAAGGAAGAATAAATTGAAAATATGTTTAAAAAAGGGAAAAAAGATGTAAATACATGTGATCACAATGTTTGCTTATTTTTTGTGTTCACAATATCAAGAGGAGAACTCACAAGTATGTGATATAATTCAAGAATTAGCTCTTTTACAAGGTAGTGATGACCAAAATATTTTAAGTGATATAATTAATTTCAGAAGCAAAAACAGCATGTTTAATATAGCAAATTATGCGGAAAGTAGTAATTTCCAGAAACAATCAATTCCGACCTCTAGTTAATAGATTAAACTTTGTCCACCCTGCCCATTAAGAGACTAACAATTCCTAGTTCTACTTATTCTTTAGAAAGAAATAGGTCGATTAGGGTTAATATTCTTATGAAAATGGAAATCGATTGAAGATCTAAGACATCAGGAAAATTGATTAAAAAATATTAAAGAAAATGATAATATTGAAAATGAATCAGAACAAGAACTCCGCTACAATAGCTACACGTTAGTTATTGAATGACAATGAATTTAAAAAATTAATATTATAGATTTTATTTTACTATTATATTCAAAATAAAGTTAATATTAACTTTAAAAAAACATATATTTGAATTTGACCACATTTGACCGTATTTGACCGGTCAAATATCGGTCAATTGACCGAAACGTATTTGACCGGTCAAATGCACAACCCTGCACGAGTTTGCTAAAGAAATGGAATGCGCTGATGGAATTGGAAATATATGGTTCGAATGGCAAAACAGATGTCAAAAAAGAGGCAGGATGTGATAGGTGTAAAGTGTTTGAAAAATATGGAAGGAAAAATGACGATTGATAGTAGTGGTATTAAGAACACCTGGAAGATTTACATGAAAGGACTTTTGAATGAAGAAAATGAATGGAATAATAATATTAGTTGTGCAAAGGTAGAAGGTCCAGGGTGTAAATTTGGCAAGGACGAGATAAAGAGAGCAGTGAAAAAGATGAAGAAAGGGAAGGCATCGGGTTTAACGATGGTGGTATCAGAGATGTTTAAAGGTTCTGATGATTTAGGGATTAAATGGTTAATGAATTTAGCAAATCAGATTGTCACAGAAGGTACTATTCCCGAGGACTGGCGAAGAAGTATAATTATCCCAGTATGCAAGGGGAAAGGTGATCCTTTAGATTGTGGGTCTTACAGAGCTATTAAACTCTTGGAACATGCAATGAAAGTATTTGAGAGAGTGTTAGAGAAGCGGTTAAGGGAACAAATTAAAATTGATGATATGCAGTTTGGTTTTACATCGGGAAAAGGCACGACAGATGCAATTTTTGTGGTGAGACAAATTCAGGAGAAGTATCTTGCGAAGGAAAAGAAACTCTATTATGCGTTTGTTGATTTGGAGAAAGCATTTGATAGGGTGCCGCGTGAGATTACAAGATGGGCCTTGAGAAAATCCGGTGTGGAAGAATGGTTGGTTACCGCAGTGATGGCAATGTATGTTGGAGCACAAACAGCAGTACGGACGGATTATGGTGATAGTGAGAGCTTTGAGGTGAAGGTAGGACTTCATCAAGGATCCGTGCTGAGTCCATTATTATTTATCTTAGTAATGGATGTGGTGGCTAGAGAAATCTGTGAAGGACTTCCCTGGGAGATATTATATGCAGATGACCTTGTAATAATGGCAAACAGTGAGGGAGAATTGAGGGATAAAGTTAGTAAATGGAAGATGACTATGGAAGCAAAGGGCCTGAAAATGAATGCATCAAAAACAAAGGTGATGATTGGTGGGGAAAATCTAAAGATGGAAGAATCCGGTAAGTGGCCTTGTGGTGTATGTGGGAAAGGAGTTGCTAGAAATTCTATCTAATGCACCAGATGCCAGAAATGGGTACATAAAAGATGTAGCGGGAAAAAAAGGCAGTTTGATGTTAGAAATAATGACCTTTATTTGTAAAACATGCATGAAAGGGATACATAATAATGATAACCTAAAAAATGGTGGTCTGGATATTGGCAATAGGTTAACCCTAGAAAAAGTGGATAAGTTTTGTTATTTAGGTGATATGCTAAACCCAGATGGTGGTGTAGATTCTGCCGTTGTTGCAAGGATCAGACAAGCTTGGAAGAAGTTCAGAGAGATGTCGTCTATTCTTACAAATAAAAAAGTTTCTCTGAAGTTAAAGGGGAAAGTTTACGTAAGCTGTGTGAGGAGTTGTTTAGTTTATGGTGGTGAAACATGGGCAATGAAAGCAACTCACGAAGCCAAATTAGAAAGAACAGAGATAAGGATGGTTAAATGGATGTGTGGGGTATCTCTGAGAGAGAGAAAAACTAGCAAGGAATTGCGAGCAAGATTAGGTATAGAAATGATTGGTATGGTAATGCGACGAAATAGACTAAGATGGTTTGGGCATGTGGAACGTATGACAAGAGATGACTGGGTAAAGAGATGCACAATGATGGAAGTAGGCGGATCAAGACCTAGAGGAAGACCCAAGATGACTTGGACAAATGTGATAGCGGCGGATATGAGAAGCATGAATCTTACAAGTATTGATGCTCAGGACCGTCAAAAATGGAAAAGAAAAATCAGAGGGAAAACTGGCCTACCCGGGTAAACCTGGAAATCGCCATAAAACGGAGAAGAAGAAGTACTTCGGAATGTGCCTTCGAATATCCTTAAAATTTTATTCCAAATAACACAGGAACTATTTATTAATGTTCTTTTTTCCTCAAAAATATTATTTTTAAGCGTTAATATTTTAAAATGATCTTTTTACAGCTTAAATCAGGCGGAACATTTTAACCGTTTTACCCAAAACACCTTTACCCCAAGGTGATATTGCGCAAATCGATATAACCTGACTTCTAGTTAACCTATAAACTTCCGATAAATTCTATATTATATGGCCCTACGGAACATGTAAAAAATTTAAATTCTAAGCCTAATATATTTTGAAGGCAAAATTAATTAGAGGGTAATTTTTATAATTATTGGGTAAAAAAAGGGTATTTTGGAAAAATATGTCAAACCAGGAAAATTTTTCAAAAGATTAACATAGGTAAGATATTAAATATAAAAATACACCCTCACACCAAATATAAGGTCTTTTGGCTCAAAAATTAAAAATTTATTCGCGTTAAATTGTTACCCCGTCAATCGCTTTATCTCGGTCTCCTTTATTACCTTCATACGTTTTTATTTTTCAGAAGAAAGTGCTAATAGATATAGTGGTTAAATAATTTTGATTATTAGGAAATAACTCTTATAGATTTGTTAGGATCCTTAAATTTAGAAAAACATAACAATTATTTCAACTACATTAATAATGAATAAAATAATTTGATATTTTGTCTAGAGAATTAACAAGAAAAAAGACAGAATCCTGATAATTGGAAGATTAAAGTCCAAAAACGTTATAACCTTAAATGTTCAAGGCGTGTCAAAAAATGGAAGTTAATTAACAATATAAAACTTCATTAAATACATATATAAATGCTCCTTTTAATTTAATTGAAAATAGTAAAGCTTCAATATACACAAAGAATTTTAGCCTTTGTCAATTGAAAAGAAAGCTGCTTTTTATAATTTTAATGTAAGTAGATAGTTGGAAAAAGTGACCTTTTGAAACCACAGCTTCTTCATACTAAAGATTATAACGTGATTAAATATCTCCCAGCGCTCTATTTCCTATTTTTTTAATAACTAGATGATAGATAATGCTCAGAATGATATCTAAGCAAATTATCATAGCTTCCCCTAAATATGCACATGTAACTGTAACTTGCTTTCCCGTATAACTCCCTATTAATGGGCATGAGAAGAACCAAGAGTGTTCTCACAAAATAAAAAAAAACAATGTGCTTAAGAAATGACGAATTCTAGCTTGCTCGTAATTTAATTGACTAGTTTAGTGGTATCATTTCTTCTGCAGAGTCAATTTAAAGAATGAACAGGGATATCATCAGATAAAGAGTTATGGTGTAACGGTAATTTAATACTAAATTCTTATAATTATGATGATTTTTCGTATGTATCACCAATTTTATATAATTAGTGTAAATCTAAAATTACCTGGTTTTTAGCGTGAGATGACTGAGAGTGCGAGGTTTTATCCTGTAGTTGATCAAACATAACAATTTTTTCACTGTTTCGTGGGAATGGGAACAATATTTTTAACATTTCCAATTTTTCCAATTCAATTTTTTCAGCTAATTCTTTCTAAATTTTAAATATAAATTATAATTAGTATTTTTAAAAAGATGAGTAAAAATGAAGGCATTTAACTCTTACAAATTTCTTTTTTTTTCTAACAAGCTTTTTAACCTTCAATTTTTTGCACAACGTATAATAGCATTTTTTCTGGCCTTCATCGAGTTGAACAAATAATAATCTTTCGGGCCCATCTTTAATGGTGGCCCCAAAACCGGAGGCTTTAGTCGACGATGCCCCAGCGAATCCTTGCAGGGTGTTGCAGTGATATTGTGTCATGCTGCCCGCTAGAGAATTTGGACCACCTTCATCAAAATTCCCATTTTCGTGACTAAAAAGGGGAGAATGAGAGGAAACATGGTTCGTGACGTTATTTGAAGGCGGAGGGGAGAGGAGCAGACAACTGGTAACCAAGGTTGTCAAAATATCGAAAATGGTGTAATAAAGTGGTGCACAATTCTCGTTGGCGTTGAAGGTGTCTAGTAAACTTCGACGTAGGTCTTCGGCAGAGTCAGAGTCCGAATTATATGAATTCGATAGGTAGGGCATATCTGTTTCATTGAATATATGTTGATATGTATGTTTTTAATATTGATATCTACCACCATTCTATCTATTTTAGCCAAATTTCCTCAAGGTGTCCCATTATGAATTGTGATTCAAAAATTACATCGTAAAATGCAAAAATATTTTGAATTAGGAAAAAAAGACACCTCAATGTATTTAGATGCAATTGATTTCTGAATTGGGATTCAAAATTCGATATCAAGTATTTAGTTTTTTTTCTTAGTTGATTGATCTTATTAAGTTTATATTTTTCAGCTGTTATATTTTCATTATGTATTTATTACAGTAAAAAAATATTATTTGAACTTAAATGATTTTAGTAACTAAAACATAAAGAATAGATAAAAAAATAACTATTTTATTTAATTTTTATTAAAATATTATTTTTGAACTCTAAATAATTTATTTTATAAAAGTTTTGTTCTCATATTATTGATAATAAAAAAAAAGGTAAAGATAAAAATGTTAAGTGTTATCTTAGAAAAATTACTAAAATTATGACAAAAAAATAAAAATATTTAAAACTAGTATTGGTTTCAAGGTCGGAATCAGGTAGCGGGCCTGCGGGGGCGTTAATGAGTATGTCGCTGGCCAGGATCTGAACTAGCAAGAAACACCAATCCAACACTAATTGATTGTGTCCCCCGCCCGACCCCCCTGAGGTCGTGAGTGGGTACATAGAGGCTATACTACTCCCTAGTGAGGAATCTAAATGGGGAGCGTTATTTCCTAACAATGAATTTAGTGCATTTCCCGACGTGACAGAGGCTGAGTTGTAACATGAAGAAAAAAAGGAATTGGAGGCATTGATGACAAGGTCGATCATCTCGGCTACAATAGAAAGGCGTAGCTCGAAGGCCCGCCTAAGTTCGTTGCGGGTGGAAGAGTTTTCGGGTAAAAGTAAGACGTGACGATCGTCGTGGCACGTTCGAAGAAGAGTAGTGAGTTGGGTATGAATAGAGCTGAGCAAATAATGACGCTGATCGGAAGTCGGGGAATCGTGTAAAGATAAAGGGGCGAAGCTTTAAAGTGTGTTTTTAGAGAAAGATGAGAGGTAAAATGTATTTTTAAAGAAAAGTAAAAAATTTTAATAAAAGGAAGCAAAGCAAGATATATGGATTAGCCATAATTAAGAAATATTTTGGTATTCTACAAGAATACTACCCAAATATTTTATACTATAGTAGGCCATTTAAAAATATCTCTATAAAAATAACCAAATTACAAACTTGGATGTGGCGATGTCGGAGTTGAAGGGATTATGATATGATGCATCCGGCCCTAGTGTAGAATTAGAACCGGAGAGGGCATTACCACAAGTAGTAAAGGAATCGAAAGATGGTAAGAAAAGAGCCTTAGACCTAGCTAAACAAGTTCTGACGAGTAACAAGAAGGGCCCATGGTTGAGAAGAGAAGCGCTTCGCTGTGCATTTTTTTCTCGCTCTAATTTATTGAGAGAAGAAGTGGCCCAATGAGCTCCACTTTCGAGTACCTAATGGAGAATTATGGGAGAATTATTAAATAAAACTTACTATCATTAAGTTTTAATCAAAATGATTCGTTTAATTCGAAATAAATACACCCAAATTCAAATAATTTGATTAATATAAATATTCTATATATTTATAAAAATGATGAAAACTAAATTATAAATATAATGAAGAGAACATAAAGCTTCATATAATATAACAAACCTGACCAGCATATTTAAGCACGCGACCTTGAACTCCAGCAGGAAGTTTAGATATTAAAGGGGCTACAAGCCATATGCCTTCTCGCTTACGTTTTCCTCCTAATACGCCACGATAAAATCCTTGTTTATTTCTTCTAATCTCAGCATGGCTTATTCCTGCTGCACTTTCAATTGGGCCACTACTCCCAACTCCCTTGTCGGGCGAAACCGAAAGGGGAGATCGTGGGCTCGCCTGTCGTGGAGTGATGGGACCTGTGGATAAGAGAGAAATGGGGCCAACCCCCAGAGAGATGAGAGGCTCAGTTGAACCTAGGCAATCTTCATAATCGTCGTATTCAATGTTGTTATTACTAGTCGTGTTGTGAAGGTTAGAGTAAGAGTCTGGTGAAGACAATGAAACTGCCGAGTCCAAAACATCATCGTCTTGATAGGCATTGTTAAGTACATCGATATTGTAAGGGGAATTGCAAAAGGTGCCTGAAGATGGTAAGGGAGGCTGTTTGGGAGATCGCTTATTGCTTTTCGAGCCCCACGAATTTTTGCTGGCAGGAACTAAAAGAAATATAAAAATGTCTCAAATTTTATAAGTATTTTGTTTTGAATTTTCAAAAGCAAGAACTTTATTTTCAAAACATTTTTCTTTTATCCAGTTATTAGAATACAAGAATACGAAATCAATATCTAATTTATTGTGCTACTATCTTTAGGACTATTGTTATTAAATCATTTCATGGCAGGTAAAACCCTTAATATTATTTTTTAACCGATTTAGAAAAATAAAATTTTATAAACAAAAACAAAAAATTCACATCCTTCCATATAAAAAAGAAATTGGAAAATTTAGATTACATAAAAGAAGAAAGAAAAAAGGGTTATATTTTTATTTTTACCATTTAATTTGTGATTCGGGGCTCCTGAAGTTGCGCTAAGGGGTGGCCTTCCTCTCTTTCTCCTTTTCTGTCCCGCGTTTGCTCCTCCCCCTCCTCCTCTTCCACCTTTACTCCTGCACGCTGATATGACTCCTTTCTCTTTTAAAGGTCTTCCCTGCTTTCCAATAGGAACCTTGTTGATCATCTCTAGCTGATAATTATCATTTTGATGATCGATTTCATGGTAGGAGCTTTGGCGATGGGGATCGTGATGGAGATATTCATCTACTTCGGCCCGAAACAAATTCCGTATAAAGGTTGCAGCGCCGTATCGTATGGGCAAATTATCGGCGGGGTTAAATTGTGAACGTCTCTGAAATAATTGGACTGCCGAGCGGGCCAGCGCTTCGTAAAGAGGAGCAGCGTCACTCTCGCGGGCTCCGCGCTGTTTTATAGCTAGCCTTAACTCGAGGTAAGAGGCCCGTAAACTCCAATGGTCTAAATTTGCGAGCACGCGGGATACTTGACGAAATGCAACGGGGTCAGAACGGTCCCGGGCGTTTTGGTATGGAGGATAGGGCAGGGAAGAAGATGGGCCGCCATCGGGATAACAGATGAGGTGAAGAAGTTTGAAGGCCTATTTGTTTAGTGTTATGATTTATGAAATAAAATGATTATAGGATATACAGCTTAGATGTCTGCATTAGGCGGGGTTTCGGCCAGCCCGCCCATCTAAGTGGGGGGGGGCGGATGGGCGAATGAAAAATTTTTCGAAAATGGGCAGGCGGGCGGGTTAAAAAAATTTGAAACTATGGGCGGGCTGGGCGGGCGGGTTAAGGAAATTTGAAATTTTTGTTCAAAAACAAACTAAAAAAAAATAATTGTTTAAAAACTATAATAACAAATAATCAAATAAATATGGATATAATGGGAAAAACAAATTGTGAAAAAAAAAATAGATTTAATAAAGAAAAGAGCTAAAAATATTATAATTGAAAAATTTGAAATCCATATACTTCATAAAATTTCAACATTTTTAATACCAAAGTTCCGACAAATGAGGATGTTGACGTCGGAAGAAATTAATGAAGTAAAAAAACATATTGAAAACATGTTGTATTTGATTTGCATCGAAGAATATAACATCGACGTGGATGAAAATCTGATTTTACACCTTTCCCCAAATGCAAAGAGAATAAAATTAAAGGGTATTAATAAATTATAAAATTGCTTAGCTCTATTAAATGCAATGTTTAAATTAAATAGCATCCGGTTTAAAATTAAACCCCAACATATGGGAGGATGAGGTTGTTACAGAGGAGAGTATTGTACCTAATGACATAACAAAATATTTAAATCTTAAAGTAACCAGTTTTGATATGTATAATTTAGCAAAATTTTAAGTTGCATATTATAATTAATTTAAATTACTTTATTAAATTTATTATTATTGGTTTCCCTTTTATTTAAAGATCTCAATTGAGGAAGAGGATATACTTCAAACGGATATCCTACTTTGGTGGAAACAACAAGAAAGAGATTTGCCAAAGCTATCAAGATTAGCAAGAAAAATATTGGCGATTCCTGCAAATAGTGCTTCGCCCGAACGCGGATTTAGCATTGCTGGAAGATTTTTAGAACAAAGAAGAACGTGTTTGAATCCAGAAAATGTCGATTCATTATTATTTTTGCATTATAATTACATATAATATTAATTTTATATTTATATTTTTTTCATATATATTCAATTTGATCAAATAAATTGTCCATAATTTACATTGATTAGTTTTATATTTATATTAATTTCCTAAATTATAAACTTTTTGTAGAGGAGTAATGAAATATTTTTATTAGATGCTTAAAAAAATGAAAGAATGACCATAATTAAATTTTATAAGCGGGCTTGGGTTAAAAATTTTTTATAAATAATGGGAGGGTAGGTAAAAAATTTTAGACTAATGGGCGGGCGGGTAGGGAATTTTAGACAAATGGGCGGGGCGGGCGGGTATATATTTTTTTTGAAAACTATGGGCGGGCTGGGCGGGCTGGTTAAATTTTTTTGAAAACTATGGGCAGGCGGGTTAAATTTATTTTAACATTGGATGGGCGGGCTTTTGGTCCAAAAACCCGCCCAATGCAGACCTCTAATACAGATACCTGCAAACCCGATTTCAAAAATCTGTACAGGGCTAAAAAACGGGCTTATCAAAAAATTGCAAACCTGAGCAGGACCGATTTTAATATATAATATCAATTAACCAGTTGAAAAATCACAAGATGGACCATTTAATATCATTTCGATCGCTTCTTATATTTTCAATAATTCTTTATAACCATTTATAAAATACCACCAAAATTATTTAAAATGACCAAATTTTAAAAACTCAAGTCAGGCCATAAAATGATCAAAATTTTATAATTCTAGTTGGATCAGGGCGGGTCTTACAATAAAAATTTAAATTGGGCCTAAAATAGATTTCTAAAGATTACATCAAAAAATAATGAGCTATATTTCTTTTTCGCTATGTTGATTGGATAAATAAATGATTTTAATAGAAGTAACTCTTACCCTTGATCAGATTGATAGTTAAACAAAAAATGTAAGTGCGCCCTTCCTATCATAAAAACTATTTAATATAAGTAAAGATTATAATACTTAGGAAAACGTTTCTTTGAGAACGCCTAAATAAAAAAAAATCAACTTTCTAATATCACGATAATAGTAGATAAATATTTTTAAAAAACACACTGCACACTATTTAACAAAAATTATAATAAACAGCTAGTGAGAATAAGAAGAAATGTTCTAATAAAGATAAATTCTTTTAAAAGACTCGAATTTTACTTGCTTATGAGACAATAAAGGGTCCAATAACAATTGATCCGAACATATTCCATCTGGATCCTTTAAAAAAAGCTCTTTCACCCATTCTTGATCGGTCAAAATAAGTAAAACTTCTTGAGAAAATTGATTAAATCTATATTTTTTTTTTGTAAATTATAAAACATAACATTTTTAAATTTTAGAAATAAAAATCAACATCATAAAACATCCTACTCTAGGTTAAAAAAAAATGTAGTTCCTTTATGTAAAGTTAAATGTTCGATTTTTTTAAAATTTAATAATCAACTTAATGATTACCTCAAACTTAAGATTTCTCCAACTTTTTCGAAATCCCAATAAGTATTATACACCGAATCAGGATCAGGTGTTTTACCGAATCTAGATTTGAACTTTGATACCCTTTTACGTCTTTCGCTATTTGATACTGAGTCAGTTACGGAGATCGAAGAAGCTTTAAATAATTTTAATTATTTTATGGAAAACTATTTTATTAGAGTAATCTAATAGTAGAGGTTGCTATTTTTGAAACTAAAAAATGTTTATGACTTCTAGGAATTAGACAACTTAAACACAAATGATTCCTAATAACCAATATGGAAAATTATGTATTGAGCACAATTTCACCCATCCAAATGTTAAGTTATTAAATTGTTGTAATAATCAATCATAGTATAAAACTTCAAGTCAAAAGAAATTCAGCCCCTTGAACTTCCGGTTTTAATATATAACGAAATAATGTTATAAAAAAAATGTTTCTTAAGGTTTAAATTAAATTATTTTAATAAAATTTTCCTAATTTAGCAAAATGTTTATCGAATATGCTTCCTAAATTCAATTATTATTTTTTTTACTCTAGCACGGCTACTTAATATGTTGCGAACTAACAAATTTGTTTTGGTACCGAATGAGTTCCCCCAGGAAGAGCTCAAAAGCAATCCTCTTTTAACATTGAATAATCCTAAATTTTAAATTAAAAATAAATGGAAAATAACTTAATATTAGCGCTTTGAAAACGGCGAGAAGAGCTCCTATAGATATGCCATGCTGGTAAGAGATCAGGTTCTGCCGCTCGTACATTTCGTCAAAAATATCGGCGAATGACCTAAGTTCATCTTCGTGTTTTTCTAAAATTGTGTTAGAAGTAGGTTCCTGGGTTGTAGTTATGTCTCGAGTTAAAAGCGTGATTATATCGTAAGGAATATTCATTACTTTTATATTAGAAACTTCGACAGGCGAGTTGCTAGCGGAATTGATGTTGTCCGAAATTTTTTCATGACTGTTATGCATTATGATCGAGTCACTATTGTTGGAGTGAGCCAAGTAATTATTTGTGGCTTGAGTGGGTTCGTCGAAAACATTATTTGGAACATTAATCGATATACCAAAATCATCATTTTGGGTAGTATTTTGGACTTTGATTCGATTTTCTGGTGTATTATTACAATACGATTGTTGGAATATACGGACCAATTTGGAATCGGAGACCAAGGCAGAGGCATCTCGGGGATCGGTATGATCAGTAAAACGAGAAGCGGGAAAAGATTTAAAAAGACGGTATAGTAGATAGCAAGTTAAACGAGCCCCTGACTCGGCAGGAATGTCCTTCAGGGGACGGTTAAAAGTAATTGGGTTAGAGTGCTCACCATTCTCATCCAGAGAGTCCAATTCTGGACTAAGAACAGAATTTGCGGGTATAGTATCGGAACGTTGATTAGAAGCGGCGGGTGGAGGAGGGCATGCGGCAGCTAGCAGCGAAGGCAGGGCAACATGCTTAATGAAGTCTTCGAGCGAGAAAATATGCCGAAGAACGAGGGTTAGACAAAGGGTGGCCAGAGCGTCGTAGAAAAGCATCAGTTTATCAAGACGACCCGATTCAGAGAAGGCTTTGGTCAAGTTACGGGCTACTACTACAAAATTGTTGTAGCCCACACTGCTAGTTCCTCCCGCTAGAGTAGAGGCGTTAAGAGGTGAAGATTGGAAATGAGGGTGTTGTAGTTGAGCATGTTGATGGTGCATATGGTGGGTGGGACAACAAAGGGCCTTGAAAGCTCCGAGCCATTCACCGTTGAAAAGAGGCGGGTTACCGATGGAAGAGGGAGGAAGCGGGAAGGTAGATGAGTCCAGAGAAGTAGAAATTTGATGTTTGAGGGAATTGTTTTTCTTATTAGTACGCTTGGCAGTAGAGAAACCGAGGGAATCTGCCCCAGCTGCTGCCAAGTTTTTGGGGTTCTGATATTGGCAAGTGACCTCGGCGCAAAACCTGATCAGAACTCGTAGATCAGCTAGTGTCTCGTAATGCATAGAACCACATTTAGCAATGTCCATCGTCTCGTGTTGTAAATGGGGAGGGTCAGAAACGAGCCGGCCCATCATCGTAAGGAGCGAGTTGCAAACGAAGCTGTACCTTTTAGATGGGTGGCCGTCGAGTTGCCCCAAGGCACTAGCATAAGATTCGTCCTTGTCTTCAAGTGAGGCTACCACACGGTACGAGTCATGAAAACTAGCTCTGTCCAACTTGAAATTATGGGGTGCTGCTGAGCTGGCCAAGCTCCAGTACTGGATATGACTTATCAGGTAAAAAGGGTCCCACCATGGATGGTGTAGGGTGGGCGGAGATGGCGCGGGGGCGACTATTCCATACATTGTGCGTTTAATTTCGGCCATCAAGGGCACGGCCACCTCCAATACAACTTTGTTCCAACTAGGCGAGGCTTCCCGCAACACGTAGCAAGAACTCCACAAATCGTACACGAAGCTATAAATAGAACGCATAAATGAGCAAGAGCCCTGTGGCACCTCACCTATCTCGCGACAAAAGGCCAATACACTACGAAAAACGCGTATAACATCGTTATTCTCACTACCATTTGGGAATGTAACAATGTTTGGCAGTGGTTGGGCTAAGGTTACGAATCTCGAAAAGTGAAACCTCAATGTCCCAGTCAGCTGGGCACATAGTTTAACTGGATAAAAGCCCCAGTCCGCCATTATGGCGGCATCATTGACGTGACTCTGCTGTTGACCTATTGGTGTTCGGACGGCTTTAATTGCGTCTATCACATGCCTGTGAACATGAGCGAGTTCTAGAAGAGCGTCTGATGCGGCATTGGTGATAGCAGCATGGTTCCCACAAGCATGTGCTAATTCGAATAAACGCGCTGTGGAGCGTAGGCATGGTAATAAATCTGAACGCGCATCGGCAAATTTACGAAGGGTGGCAACAAAAAATTTTAAGGCCCGGGTCGTGGCGCGCCATTTGTCAGCAATAGGAAAACAAGAGAAAACTCGTAAAACATCTAAAGGGTTTTGAGTAGAGTTGTGTTTTGTCGTATCTTATTCATCAATAGGTAAATAATTTTGTATAATATGTTTAATTTATTGTATGCATTTTATCTACTCTAAAATCCTACCTTCTGCCTCAATGTGGCGGGGATGTGGCAACATCTCTGGGTGACTACTAAGAGTTTAGGGTGGGAAGAAAATTAGCCTGTTCTAGTAATATCATTTTTATAAAATTTCCTCCCTCCTGCCAAAAAATAAATATATCACGATAAACAATAATCTGAGAGAAAAATAAGAAAAGTTTAATAATTTTTAAAATAACGACTATAATTCAAAATTCTAGAAAAAAGCATTTTTATATAAAGTGAAAACCAAAATTATTAATAATATAGCTAAAGGTCTATAATAAGTGGGCTTAAAGATTTCCAATAAAATTTATGACGGAAAAACAATAAATTGTGCCCTCCCATAGAAAATCCTGGATACGCCTATGGGCCATTCCACGTCAAATCGATCACGATTCGACCGACCCCTTTTAAAATTGTTAAAAATTTCTGGAATTATTTAGAAGGGTAAATAAATGAGAAAGCCGTTTATTTTAGCTCTCTAGCACACATGGTTCCCGAGATATAGGGGCTCATAGGTACAAAAAAGAGCCACTTTGGAATCTGTAAAATTTTTAAAAAGCTTATATCTCAAGAACTATTTATAGTAAAAAGATATATAATATATCATATTGTAGGTAAAAATAATCTCTAAAAGGCTATCAAAAAATAATAAAAATTGGCGCCAATTTGAATCTTTAACTTCCGGTTTATCTAAAATGCTTTACCTGTATTTTTAAGCAAAAAAGGGAGTTTGTTTTCGAAATTTTTTTATTGCTTTTTATTTAGACACCTTTTATAAATATATATAGGATGTCAAAACTTTGGCGACGCTATCGACTCCAAAAATTTAAAAAAATAATAGATGGCGCTTTATGAAATTACGGATTTTGGTTAAAATTTTGCTGCAAACTTATCAATAAAACGGATATTTTCACTTTTTATACTAAAAATATTTTAAATTTCTATTAAATATACTAAATAAATTGAGGGGCAGTGTGGGTAAATGCCCATTAGACACTTAATAATGTAATATATTTCCAATAATAAAATCTTTTGTATAATTTTTTTATTATTCATTCATATTAATAATATAGAAATAGAGATAGACAATCATATTCATTCCATAATTTAAAATTTGTGAAATGTTATATTTAATATTTGCGATTCTGTTGAATTAGAATAAAATTTTGTTTCAATTTTATCCTGAGAAATTGGATAAAAAGCATGAAATTTTTGCGTCCCTGGTATAGTACGGGCTTTGTCGAATCTCTCTTTTAAAATTATTTGTTCTTTCTCATATTCATCTTCCATAATATAGGAGAACTCTATTCCTTAATAAAAAAATTATAATATATATATTAATAAATTATAAATCATATACCTTTTATATTTTCCTTACAATAGGCAAAAAACTCTTTAGGAGAAGTTATTTGTTCTGAAGTAGGTCTTTGTAAACTTGCTCTAGCCACTAAACGCTTGACGGTACCTCCGACCCCCGTCACAAGCTGATTTGCCATGAGATGTAGCCCAGAAATGCCACTCAGCTTTTATCTCGAAATCATATTCATGGTGGCAAAGATTGATTAAATTTTTCCGATTTTTATATTGAGCTGCTGCTCCATCTGAAAAATAGAAGAATTTTTTTGGCAGGCATTGAAATTTCTTTGTTAAGTATTGAACTAAATATTTTTGGAATATATGAACCGCAATTGTATTATGAACGAGAGATTCAGATATTATTACGAAACTTAAATGATTTAAATTATTAAGTGACTTGTAATAAATGACAAAAGGATGAATGGTAACTTGAGATTTATTCCAGTGAAATCCCTGTACTTCATCTTGAACCACAAAGGCATAATTTTCAGCAAAATCTGCCTGCACGATATATTCTCCTTCCTTTAAATTAATTTTAAGAGAATTCATGAATATTGTTTGCTGCTTTGTTATGAATGAGTGTAATAGTAAAATATTTAGCTTTTCGAAAAGCGTTTCTAAAAAATTAAAGGTTGATGAAGTGATAGTTAAAAGATCTGTACGATCTGTTGTTACCCATTGCTTGTAGGTAATAATATATTCGATATCAATTGAATATAATATTTCACTTATCATGGCCTTTAAATTAGAAGATCCAGGGCATTGAGCACAATCACCAAAAAAACATTTTGGTATTTGGATATTTCTTTTCACGTAAGCGTTTTATTTTAATGGGAGATTCCCCAATTGATTGTAGGGATATATTAATGTTTTCAATTGCCTCTTGATTAACTATATGAGGAGGAGAATCAATATCATTGTCATTATAAGGAAGCTTTGCTAATTTTTATCGGCATGAAGAGCATATTAGCATATTTAAATTGATTGGTAAATTGTTTTTGGTCATCTAAGGTTGAATCTTTCTTAGATTTTTGCGATAATATGCATGTTTTTGTAAATTAAATGGGTTACAACATCTTGATATTTTAATATTTGGTATATCCATCTTTTATATAGAATAAAATTTTATTTAATTTGAACCTAGAATATGGCTTGTTTAAAATTAATCTGATCGAAAAAAAAATTATATTAAACAGAAAGAGAGATTGTTTTAAACTTTTAATTTTTTAAAATATTATTATCGTAAAATATAATCGATAATATGTCTAAAATATAAATTCTTTTTTAATGCAGCTGGTATACATTATCGTGCCAAAAAGTCATTCGCTGTTATAGTAGTAAAGCAGAGATCTAAAATATGTAAAAAAATTTAAGGATGGTGGGGGGGGGAGCAGAACTGGAAAATTTTATCGCATTTCTTATAAACTTATAAATATTTTCATTTTTAGAAATAATATTTTTTAAACATTAGCGCCATCTATTTTTTTTTACGATTTTTGATAAAAATGTATATTTTGGAAGAGTCGATAGCGTCGCCAAGGTTTTGACATCATACATATATTTATAAAAGGTGTCTAAATAAAAAGCAATAAAAAAATTTCGAAAACAAACTCCCTTTTTTGCTTAAAAATACAGGTAAAGCATTATAGGTAAACCGGAAGTTAAAGACTCAAATTGGCTTCAATTTTTATTTTATTTTGATAGTCCTTTAGAGATTTTATTTACCTACAATATGATATATTATATTATACTTTACTATAAATATTTCTTGAGATATAAGCATTTTAAAAATTTTACAGATTCCAAATTGGCTCTTTTTTGTACCTATAAGCCCCTATATCTCATCAAGAACCAGGTGTGCTAGCGAGCTAAAATAAACGGCTTTCTCTTTTATTTCCCCTTCTAAATAATTCCAGAAATTTTTAACAATTTTAAAAGGGGTCGGTCGAAAATGGGCCTTTTTTGATCGATTTGACATGGAATCTATGCGTAAATGAAATGGATGACATGAGAATAATGGGTCTTACTAAATAGCTATCACTAGGATTGTCAAAAGTAGAGAAAAGGGATCAGAGAAAGCTGGCTTAACCAAGTAAACCTGGAAAAGCGCCATTAGACGATGAAGAAAAGTATACATTATATGTGTTTTCCAAAAATTATTTATAAATGATATTTTTTGAATAATAATTATTACCTATACTTTTATTTAAGTATATATTTATAAAAATGAATATAAATAATTAAAATTTTGGCAAAAATGATTAAATGTTTACATTAAATTCGATGCCCTATCATTCCATTCTAATATAATATCATGGCCTTATTATTATAAAGTTCTAACTCCGATCAATTTAAGAAAACAGAAATTTTAAATTAACAAAACAACAAAAAATACAAATAAATAAAATTTCAATCCAGATGTGATAATTATTTTTTTTTAATTGTTATATTTTTGTGGCTTTTTTATCAAATTTATTTAATATTTTTAAAAAGTGAATGTTTTTGCTGTATTCGTGTAAAAGTTATTCTTTTAAAAAAACATTTTTCCATTAATTTTTCCTAATATTTCAGTAACTATTTGCTTGTTATTTTTATAAAAAAAAGGAACATGTATTTTTTTTTAATATACTAATTGATAAAGGTATCAAACTACCCGTTACAGTAGCCTCTTAAGAAGTTTAAAATTCTTACTGATGAAAAAAGTCCATAGTTGGAGAAAAACAAAAAAATATATAAGTATAATCAAAATAATTATAAAACGTTAATATTTTATTACATAAAAGTACAATTAAATATTTTAAATATATTAAATACAAAGGTTTAAATTGGAGGGGGCCTCATAAAGATAAGATTATGATACAATCTCAATTCGATGATGAAGCGAGAACCTTATAATAATCAAGCAATTTAATCATAATTTTATTAAAAAATGCATTTGTTAAATTATCAAATAAATTATTAAAATCTCTGATTTTAAATTATACCTATTATTATTTTTAAAAAACGTAATTAATAATTAGCATGTCGCATCATCATTTAAATATAACAAACTTTGAAATAGAGGAACGCGGATCGGAATTATAGCAGATGATAGCGTGTCGATATCTCGTTTAACGCGAGTCGCCATGTGTCCTATACCAAACAGAGTCTTACGGCGAGTGGTTACGTCGCGTGAAGCGAAAACGGGAAAGTGGTAAAGGTATTGATAATGTTTAGAAAAAGCGCGAATATTATTGTTATTTTGAGAGAAATTTTCTTCGGTAGTAGTATGAAGGTTACAATTCGGATTCCTTGAGAGACTGGGATGATTGGGAGAAGCGGGAGAGGGAGTAAAAGGGGAAGTAAGAGAGAGAGAAGAGGAACAAAAACCAGCCAAAGCGAATGGATGGATGAACACGTTAGGGGAGTCTGAATATTTAGATATAATTAATTTACATTAAAATGTATAACTAAATTAAACTCAATATAACTTTCTATTGTGAGAACCTTTTTAATTAGTATTTTAGCTTAAAATTAAAATTTTAATAAATCTGAAATCATTTGGGACAAAAAAGTGTGATTAAAAACCATAAGTGCTCATATTTATTAAGGGGTCAAATTTGTCAATATATAGTATATACCTATGAGAGAATGATTTAGATAAATCTCGTATCTTACGTAATAAAGGAGTGTGAATTAATTATTTGAATTGTTTTACAAATTATTTGAAACATACAATATTCGAATTATTAGAAAAAATAATGATAAAATTTAAAGACAAATATTTAACCCACCGAATATATTGTAATTTAGAATGGTAATTAGATTTCGGTGTCTATGGTGTTTTATATGTATCAATATCAATAATTTACAATTAAAAATACGAAAACATTATAAAAGAAAAGAAGCTACAAAAATTGTATTTCATCGGAAAATTTTATGATTATTGATTAAAAGTGTAAAGAATGAAAATGTTTGATTTTTTTAAAAAAAACGAACATTCATTAATTCGAAATGAAATAATTAATTATTGGTAATCTTAATAATTAAACCCGTATTGCGTATCTAGTATATAAATAATATCGGAAAATACTTATTTAATAAATTTGTTGGCAAAATATTTGAAGTGATATTTCAAAGTAGTAAAAACACTATAATACTATTTATCTTCATATATATGTCTATCTATTCGCAATTTTTTTTATTTTATGCATTTGAAATTTCGATATAAAAATAATAATACTCAATTAAAACCTAATATATATATATATATATATTTTTTTATAAAATTTTATTAATTTATATAAAAATCCATTTAAAAATAAAATATAAAAGGGCTTCATAAATTACGTCCATTAATCACAAATAATTGTCCATATGTTAATATTTCGTTACATCTCCATTCGCTTTTATAAAGGCGTTTACCTATAATTCCCGTATAATATAAATAAATATATCCTCTATAGTTTTCTTTAGAATCACCTTAGTAAAGCGGATTTTAAATTGTTGTCTTCGTAACTTCCCTTAAAGTTTTAATTGGATTTAACAGAGGGGACGATGCTGGCCATCCAAAATATTAATCCTTCTGTCATATAACCATTTTTTAACCGATTTCAAAGTATTATATGGTTCCCTATAATATTGAAATACATCGGACATTGATGATTGGGTGAATTTATTGATATTTTAAAATGTTTAATATGCCGTTTACAAAGGCCAAACTTCTAACAACTTTTGAACTCATAAATTCTTATATCATAATGGTCTCTAGATATCTAACAGTTCATTTTAAGCAATCGCTATGAAAGGCTTCATTTTTATTTCTTATTACAACATCCCTAACATTATCATTGTTCATTTCGAACCAGGATTCACCTGAATAGAGAACATATTCCATTGTTCTGTGTCCAATTACTGTATTTATGAGTCAATTTTCATATTTTTTTTATATAATCCTTAAAAATGTTTTATATAGCCTAAATTAAAGAATAGGTTAGGCGCAATAATAAATAATAAATAACAAATGAATAAATAATTTATAGAACGATAATTTTATGAATTTTCAATTGACATGTTGTTGCAGAAATCTATTTTACAATTAGAATTTCCCCTCATTTTTATATAATCCACGATTAAGGTCTATTGGACTTTTAAATCATTCGAAATATTTTTAAAAAAATAATGCAATATTTTTCAAGTATAATTACTATTAGATAAAAGTTGATAGAATACAATTCACAATAATTTAATCTTTTAATTCTAATTTATTCTATTTAAAATAGTTTTTTTTATTATTGGTTAACAAAAACAACGAATTAAAAAAATTTTACTTTTCTTAATTTGGGTGTAGTAAGTAAGAAAATATATGGTTTGACCACTTTGTTATATTTTTTGATATTATATGCAATACAGGGTTAAATTTAAATAACGGGTTTTGGATAAGTTGGTAATGATATATATATTTATCACTTTCTGATTTTCTAATCATTTAAAAGCGTCAACTAAAAAATGTTAATTTAAATTATTAAAACTGTATAAATAATATGTTAATCAAAATCTAGAGTATATATATATATATTTAAAAAATTACCAGTAATATGCATATTATTGGTTTTATCAAAGCTAATTTGGTTTTCCTTAGTTGGCTTATTTGGAATTGTAGATAATACCTTAAACAAAATAAATATTTATATTCTAAAAAACAAATCTTTCAAAATATTAGATTATTTTACAGATATAAAACTATAAAAATTATACTAATATTAGTGCTTTTTTTTGCTATGTTCTAAGCTGAATTTTTAACTTTTACTTTTGAAAACCAGTAATGAATTAGCATTACATATGTTTTTAAATTAAAAAAAATATATAATAAAATTAAGAATTTATACCAAATTAATACTACTATAATGCTTATAATAAAATTGAAACAAAATAACCTTTTTTAAAGTTTTAGAGCTCATGTATTTAGCCCAAGCGGGGTAACGCAAATCTGATGTATCCAAATCGCCTCGGCAAATGAGAATTTTAATGTAGCCATCATAATCAAATATATTCAAGCGGATTAATTCCCCAAAAAATATTACCAAATTCGAAAACATTACCATAGAAGGATTGTTTTCTTTTAAGAAAAAAAGGAATTTATTTTTAATATAATTAAAACCTCTATAGGTGCTCGCCTACGATGACCTTTTATAAATCGGTTTCTCTCTGCCAAATTCCTAATTCAAAATGTTTCATCATTGTGGCTATCTTTCTTAACAAAATCCAAACGGCCCTTAAAAATTTGAAATAGGGGGGGGGGGGTGATTATTAAAAAAAGTTTAATTAATAATTCTGTTTTCCTAATTTCACGATTTGATTATTTCTTTATAACATATAGAAATTTTTTTAAACCAGATAAAATAGGGGCGTATAAGTCCAAAAATTTAATAAGTATTTTTTGGAGTATAGGAGCAGCCAAGGGTTTCGGGTTACAGGCTAGGCCTCCTTCTTCTTCTTCGTTAAAGCCAGATTCCGACATATCGCTGTTATCATCTAACTTTTGTTTAAATTGTTATATGTATATATATATATTTATAATAATTGTTACGTAATATTTACAATATTCCAATTTAATTTTTATAAAAATAAATGCCATTCAGATTATGCGTCAAAAAGAGTTAGTTATATTTTTTTCAGCGTACCTTCATGGATACATTAAAGATTGTATGGGTATCTTGATATATTTTACAGGTATCGTTTAAAAAGGATATTGTCAACACATTATTATAAGATGACTCTTTAACACATAATTTTAAATAGGCAATGCATTGCATTTATATATTATATTTGTATTAATAATTTATTCAACAAAATTCAATTTAAAAAAATATATTATATATACCAAAGCATCCAAATGATTAAGTCTCATAGCAAAAAGGTTGGCAATGACCAAAGACCTATGGGCCCCACTCCGGTGTAAAGTTATTGCCCATTGACACATAATAAAGATGACTGGTTCTTCTTGTTTATGAACCAACTTTTTAATCATATAATTATATTTCAAAATTTACAAAAATAAAGAAGTAAAAAACAATTGTATTTTAAAAGGTAATTATTCCTCATAACTTGTTTGATATGTTTAAAACTTAACTTTCATATTTGACTATAATTATTTTTAATTTGGGAATTGCATTAAGATATATCTTTTCATAATTTTTGTCAATTTTACATTAGTTGATGTCAGATTGTGGTAAATCTCAAAATTCTAAACCACCAATGAAATTTTAAAGGAAAATTATTCTTTCTAATAAATATTATTTTATAAAAATATTAAACTCTGATTAAGTCCTGCGAAGAATGGCTATATGAATGAGGGAAGGGAGAAAAGATTTTATCGTATAGCGATTTCAAACAATTATCCTTTTCACATTTATTATAATCGTGATGGTCCAATGCATGAAGCACGTCTATTATAACGTTGATGACTTTACCTGGATGATATTAATAACGTTTTAAAAAAATTAATACAAACCAATTCTAATGCTGCGTAGCTAGCTTTTATATAAGGCGTAATAATGTTTTGCTCAAAGATAAAATTTTCTAGATGGTGATTATCTTTGATTGATATTTACTTTATAATCAAAATTATGTCTTATCATAAGGCAGCAGACCGGAAAATAAAGATAATATTTTAAAAACCATTTAGAGATTATTGTTTTTAAGTGACTCTAATAAAATAAGTATCTCTGATGTCTATCAATAATATTATATTTATTTTTCTAACCTATGCATGATGGTTTATTTTTGCCCAAAGCCCATAAATTTTCGGCCATCGTGCTGCGTTTTTTTATTAATCGTTCTTTATCTAATAAAGCGTTTTTCATCTATAAATAAATATTCATAGTGATTATTTTTAGAAAATAAAACTCGGTAATAATAAAAAATATGAAATATATGAGACACTGCTAAGTGCCAACTAAGGCTCGAACGAAGCCTTTTTTTGGTAAGTTCCTCAGATTGTGGGTTCGATAAGAGAAATACAAAGGAATTTGCTTATAGGAGTGTGTCCAAGCCGTTTTAAAGAGTTTTTTAAGGTGGGGGTGTGTCTGAGAAGTGTTAAGATAATAAATTGTCAGGGCTGCCTGTAGATTCAGCATTTAAAGAAGTTAATTGGTCAATTAAAACTTTGGATGAGACAAAAAACATTTTTTATCTTAAAAATTAATTTATTATTTGGTCCGAACCCTGAGGTTAATTATAGCTGGTTATTTGCTCTATTTCAACAGTTTTCGTGGGCTAAAAAACAAATCGTTTTTAGCGGAAAATTATTACCTTAGTCGTGGAGTTTTTTTGAGAGAAAGCATAAATAAATTACTCGCGCCTCAATGTTTAACAGATGTTTTGACATCCACCTATAGATTGAACTAAATTAGCCAATTTTTAGCTATTACATAACTATATTGCTAACAATGAAATAGAACATAAAAGTAAAATTATATATTTTGATTACATCGCCAAAGATCATTTTTACAAATTTTGAGTTTTAACCTTATTGAATTGAAACTTTTTGATAAACAAATCGGGTCATAATATTTAATTTACGATTTCATTTCAGAAATATAATAAAAAATCGAACTATAAAAAAATGTTATTTTACTTTAAATTCATATTTAATTAATCATTTTCCAAAAAAATATATTTTCTAAAATTAAAGAGTAGAATTTAGATTGGCTCAAAAATTAAAAAAAAACTATGGTTGTGGTGCGTGCATTAAAATAAAAAAAACTGAGTCATAATTTCCAGCGTAGTTAGGGGTCGGCAATTTGGATGGTTCGATAGGCAATTTATCAAGCGGTGACCCTTTTAAATAGATCGGATTTGTTAGGGAAAGGTCGGTACCGGTCAGCGAGCTTGTCCAGTCCCAAACCCCGTTCCATACCAAGCTGGAAGGGCAGCGTAAAGTAGCCGTCCGTATTATATTGCTCAGATTTAGGATGGCATTGCGGTGGTGAAGGCAATCGTGAAAACGAAAGCTAAAAAGTTTATTTTATAGATTGATTGTAAGAGTGGTTAAAATTTATAAATAACAAATATTATAACAATGATGATGATATAAATTAAGAATTGATTGCTATTAAATTTTAAATAAAATACCAGTTTTTTTAAACCTATTCTATGTGAATTTTGAATTTTAAAGAAAATTAAAGATGGCGGCCTGTATCATATCGATCGATACTATTTATTTTTTAAAAAATCAAACAATAAACTGATAAAAAAATTTTCCTAACTTTTATAAATTAATTATAAATGAATATAAAAAAATGAATTATATCAGTTTTTTTCAATAAAATAAACTACATGACTATTTTTTGCTAACGAGTATCGGTAGCATTAACCGATAGGGTATCGATTTTGGTGCCAGTATCGGCTAAAAAAAGTGGGACTGCATCTCCGATTATATATTGTTTCTTATTAGTATTCTATTATAAATAAATAAAAATAGAAACCTAAATTCATCATCGGCAGAATTATCTGAAATGGTATCGGAGACATTAATGTATTCGCATAAAACCGTAACGCAAAAGTAGACAAGGCGCCGACAGTGGAAATATGATTGGCAAAAGGTGTTCATATACTTTATTTTTTATATAAAAATAATAATACATTCATGTATTCATCAAGACAAATCCTTTTCTACAAGGACTTAAAGAGATTATTTCTTAGATAATCTATGCTAATTTGGATAGCATACCTCTCTTGAGGCTTGCTTACTATAGGATGGGAATATCGGAATCAACAGAGACCGATTTTCTCCATGTATCGAGGAAGGAACTGTATTGCGAAATTGAGGATTTCAAACGCTACGTTGAGAATGCAAATAATGAATTTCAAAAAGTAAGGCAAAAATTGGTCAAAATACCTTTTGACCTTAGGAACCTTTAAAAAGGCAAACTATTATTTGATAGTTTGGTTACGAAAACTAGTTTGATTTTTTAATTTTTTAATAAAATTGCATATTTTCTAAAGTTATTAAGAATAATTAATAAAACTTTGCATATCATTTTGATAAATTTCGTTAAAAAAATTGAAGAACTTACGGAGTGGAGTTATGAGTAAGTGAAAAAGTATGTTATTTCAATCGGACTACCATTTATATATATCCCTCTTTCATCAAATTATATTAAAAATTTCTTATTAACAATATATATATATACAAATATTTTAATAATGATTTAATTAAATTTGACACTTTGTCAATAAAGTAAAATAAATTAGAAGTGAAATCATACATTATTGATAAATTTACAATTTTTAATTAATTATCACATATTTTTATTTTTCTCTGTCTCAGTAAGACTTTAATTGTCTTCTAAAATGTAAATTAACGAATAAATGTCAGGATGGGCATTTTTTGCCATTCGCTGTAGGGAATGATGGTATCCCTCGAGATGATTATTACTACGTGGACCTTGTATCTTTGTACCTATAAAAAGCAAATCATTAAATGTTAATAATATTATATCAAACTTATATTTATGTAAAATAAATAATTTATAATAATTATCTCGTCCAAATTTGAGAGGAAACATAGCATCATAATTTATCCAAGTTGTATCTATATATATTAAGAAGCTTGATAATAACGAATCTACACAAGAATCACGAACTATTTCAATGTCTTGTCTCTTGTAGTAGGCTTATCCTTCGAGCGAACAATGGTATCCAGGCTATTCTCTATATTGCTTTACCAAGCCTAAATACTAAACTTTACGCCAAATGGCTTGCGTAAAGTGAAAGAAGCAGCATAGGAATAAAATATGTTAGAAATATATACAATTTAAACTTTACTCTTTACTAAATGGTTGGAAATACAAATTGTAGAGCAGATATTGCTTCTGCTTCATAATCAATTTGTGCCATTTCGGCAAAAAATGGATACCATTTAAGGTGCTCTATTATTATTTGAAATAGCTCAATATATGACTCCTTCCTTTTATCTGAAAGAAGTGCACATATAATAGGGATCATAGTTTGATTATACATATAGTATAAAATTGGCTAAAAAAGCGCAGGCAAATGTAAAACGCTCCTTCCATATAAATGAATTTTGAATATGATGACAAAATAACTAACGCGGCAGAGCCAAATACAATTAGTTATTATTTTTAATTAGGAAATTATCACCAATGAATGTTGTTATCAGGTCAGTGATCAATACAATCGCCTTATTGCTAGTGGAAATTTTAAGATGAGTTTGTTTTAAAACAAGGTTAATCGTATTTTTCACCAAAATAAATGGTGGAAAGACCCCGGGATAACTATATATATTTGGATCTTTAGCACATCGTTAGTTTAATGCCCTTAGATAGATATCCACATTTGTATCTAAAGGATTTTATTGAAAAATTTCTTTTACGGTTTGCAATGTTTTTATTTTGCGAAATAAAATTGTATGATTTTTATGCTCATGGATTTGGGATACTGTATCCCTGAACATATTTACACGTAACTTTACAGTCTGCTCTTAGACAACTGTAGTGTGTTGTATACCAGTGTGCTATTAAATCAGTAAAGAAAAGATAAGCAATGTTTTGCCCTTTTGTATCTACAAAAGTAGTCTCTAAATATATGAAAATTTATAAATGTTCATAAAATAATTTACCAAAAATGGGTATATTTTCATTAAAATCTACAATAAACTCAAAATTGAATAGATGATGTTTCTCAAATAGCTGGTCATTCTCATGAACAATCTTCGAATCTTCCAAATCAAGGTTAAATTTGATTATAAAATCTTAAATATTATAATTTTAGGTACAACATATTATAAAACAATATCTAAACATAAATTTTAAAATAGGTAATACTCAAAGTCAATCAGTTTACACATTCCCTCTTTGCTAATATATTTCCCCATATATTCCTGATTTTCAAAAGTAATATTTATAACAAATAAACTAATTATATAAAATATAGATGCTACCAATATATCAAATAATTCCTATACATCTCCTTTAAATTCAAAAATGAAAAATATTACATAATTCTTTTAGCTAAATTATAGGTGAATATTATTAAGAAAATATGTATAATTATGAAAATGCCGAATCTCTTATATATTTTAATGCAAATACACGTATTTTTGGTAAATTACTACATAAAAAATCTATAAAGAGGAGCCGACTCCATAGGGCTAAACATAGCTTTTCTTATAGCCGATTTAATGGCACATACAGATATATAATATACTATCGTTGTCTAAATGAAAACTGTAAAGTCACGTGTAAATATGTTCAGGATATACAGTATCCCAAATTCATGAGCATGAAAATCATACAATACTATTTCGCAAATTAAAAACAATGCCACGTAAAAGCAATTGATCAACAAAATCCTTTAGATACAAATATGTATATCTATCTAAAGGCATTAAATCAACAATATGCTGTAGATCCAGATATATATATAATTATCCTGGAGCTCTTCCGCCATTTATTTCGGTGAAAAATACGATTAACCATGTTTTAAAACAAACTCCGCCTAATATTCCCACTAGCAATGAAGCGATTGTATTGACTACCCACCTGATAAAAATATTCAGTGGTGATAATTTCCTTATAAAAAATAATAATAAACTAATTGTATTTGGCTGGGCCACGTTAGTTAATTTGTCATCAAATTCAAATTACATTTTTATGAATGGGACGTTTTACACTGGCCCGTGTTATTTTAGCCAAATTTATACTATCCATATAATGTATAATCAAAGTATGATCCCTATTATATATGCACTTCAGATATAAGAAATGAGTCATATATTGAGCTATTTCAAATAATAATAGAATATAACACCTTAAATGGTATCCATTTTTTGCCAAACATGACACAAACTGATTATGAAACAGGAGCAATATCTGCTCTACAATTTGTATTTCCAAACAGTATAGGGTAAAGTTTAAATTGTATATATTTTATTTCTAGGCTGCAAAGAGTCTATTGTGTACACCATTATTCGAAGGATGAGCGGACTTCCTCTACGCAAGAAGAAAATTCTTGCGGGCAGGTAATGACCAGTTATTATCAAGTGTCTTAATATATATTGATATAAGTTGGATATATTGTGATATGATGTTTCCTCATCAAATTTGAACGATGTAATTATATAATATTTTTAAAAATTAATCATTTGTTATATATAGGTACAAGATACAAGGTTCAGGTAGTAACAATCATCTCGAAGGATACCATCAATCCCTTAAGCGAATGACAAAAAACGCCCATCCTGACATTTATTCGTTAATTGGTATTTTAAAAGATAATCAAAGTCTTACCGAACAAAAGGTATTACACTGGTTAAACCATGATGGAGAAAAATAAAAAATATGTGATAATTAATAAAAAAAATTGTAAACATAACAAATTATGATTTACTTCTAATTTATTTTTAATTATTGACCAAGTGTCTGATTTAATTAAATCATCATAATATAAAATATATATGTTAAATGTAAAATATTTGTGTATATACTAAAAAAAATCTAATATAAAATTGATGAAAGAACGATATACATGGTGGTCCGGTTGAAATGGCACACTTTTACATTTAATCATAACTCCTTAAGTTCCTAAGATTTTTTATGAAATTTTACAGAATGATAAAATAACTCATTCTTAACAATTCTGCAAAGTTTTATAAATTATTCTTAATAGGTTTAAACTTTATTTAAAAATAAATAAAAAAGAGTTTTTCGATATCAAACGATAAAAAAAAATTGATTAAAGATGATTTATATTTAATTAAAATTTTACGATAACAACATTATGGTACCAAACGATTATTTAAGGAATTCCCAAATAAAGATTATGATTTGAATTAAACCTTTATTGCATAATTCTTTCTAATACTTATGTTGGATGTTATGAAAATAAAATTTATGGAAATCTAATTTGATTTAAGAATGAAATGTGCAATGATAACGAGATCATTGGTTCCCTCTACTTTAATTATAAACACACATGCAATCTCCTGACTCCCATCTTGCCACGACCTGGCATAAAAAAAAGGAAATTTGTCGATCCTTAATTATTTTCCCTTTTTTAACAAGCAACAAGAGTGATAATAGTGATTCAAAGTATGTCGATTACTTAAATGCGAGCTTTTAAACAAAGAGAATACACTCTTTGATTCCTCACAATTGATAAATATGAATTTGAGCACTTATGAAGTAAAGTTCTCCTATATAAATTTCAAAAAATGTTTTAAATCTGACTCCATAGGCAAATATTGTGAGAAGTGAAGGACGAATCCCACGGCATATCATGCATTAACAATTCAGCTACCTTGGAGCCATTTGATTTTCTTTTCGCTGATAATAACCCTTGGTAAATGGGGATTTTTCCCTTTCAAACTTAAATGAGAATAAAGCATAAAAAATATTTCCATCTATATTAAAATATTATATTCCTGCAAAATAATCCCTTTTGGACGAGTACTTTAGATTTTTTTTATAAAAAAAGTCGAATGGGGGGGGGGGGGCAAACAAACCCAAAAGAATAATTATTTAAAACAATGTACTATATATATATATTATCTCAACCAACCATATTGTTAGTTTAGATTGACTTTTGCGTATTTATATATAAATCTAACGCTATTTAATGAAGCTTTCTAAACTATAATAACGAACAAAAACTAAATTAAAATAATCATAATAAGGAAAATCTATCAAAAGGGTGTCTTAACTCTTTAGCAATGGTAAAAATTTTAAGTCTAAAAGGGAACCTGTGAATAATAACTTAGCTTTGTATTTAATCATTTTTTTATCTCTCGCCCTTTAGTTATCAATTTTAATCTGATCATAGTGGGTAAATTTGAAATATGAATTACTTTAAGAATGAACGGCAAAAGAAAATCCAGAGCCTCGTCGCGAAGCTCCCCGTCATATTTTTCTACCGATTTCTCCAACAAATCACAAATAAAGGTCAAAAGTTCTTGATTATCTAAAAGACCCTCCTATATTTATTTTTTTTAAAATTATTATTGATGATTGAATTAATATCGAATCGGGTACAGGCACAAATATATAACTGTTTTTCCTTTCTTTCTTTATACTTAAAAAATTTGACTACCTTTTTTAAAAATATTATGTTATAAATAATAATGTTTTTAAATAAAAATTGATGATAATATTTTATATTTTAAAAGGTTTTAATTAAAAATAAAAAGAATAACAAAGAGAAAAACAAACCGTAAATAAATACCACACGAGGGAGTCTAAATAATTCCAAATGTTAAGGGTAACTGTTAAATCGGACGAGAGATATAGAGGTACTTGAGACTCATTACCATGAATGACAGTCGCTAAATTAGTCATACTGCTAGAAGAACTACTGTTGTGGATGGGATTTGAGTCGAGACTAGAAAATTTGGCGAACACCTCATTATTGTTCAAGCTAGACGACTCCTTAGTGTTGGAGTAAAACTCGTTGTTATTTGGAAGGGAAGGATTACCATTGTAATTGAGCAGCATGTTGCTGGTATTAATATTAGTGGTGATAGGGATAGGTATTATGTGGGAGTTGGCCGAAGAATGCTCTAGCTTGACGCCGGACGATAGCTCGGTAGAAGAGTTATCAAGAGAGCTAATAGCTTTCTCCTCGGCTAAGGCTTTTTTATGGAGGGATAAAAGTCGACTAGCAAGTTCTTTCAATACCTTGCACAAAACTTGCGTCCAATCTGGGGATTTTTTTTATAGAATCATGTTTATAAGTGGATGAGAAATGAGTTATAAAGTATGAATTCATAATGAAAAAGTATGGTCGACTCCTCAGTAAATTTTGACTTTAAGTCTTTGATTTAGTTAGAATTCATTAATAAAAATCTGAGGTAAGGGAAAGATTAAAGACCTAAAATCTCTAAAACCTCTCCAATTCTAAAATTCTCAAAGGTGACTCGTGTAAATAAAAAAAAAGTTCCGGTGATGATTAACAAAATTAATCCCTTTGATAAAATATAATAATCATTTGATAAATAATGAATTTTAAATAAATTCCAACTATTATACTTTAAAATGTACCTCTGAATTACGTTTATATTATAATTTTAATAATAAAAAATTGTTAATTGTTTACTACTTATATATATATATATCTATTTCATGTTTGATTTCTTTTCGATTTTATTATATCAAGATATGGTCTTGGTATTATTGGATTTTAAAACTCATCAACAATATCTGGTATAGAATTAATAATCGTAGAAGATAAATCACCTCTAATATAACGTATTAGGGATCTTAAAAATTTATATAAACTTATAATAAAGTTTAAAGGAGAATTAGACCGTATTTCATCATTTCAATATCATTGTGCACTTCTTTATTTTTAGTGCATCGATTTAATGTTTTATAAAATGTGTAATAATGATTATTTTCTATATATCTATTTTTCTTTTACCCAAGTAGTAATGTAAAATTGTGTTTTGTTATGCAAATTGTTTTTGTTTTTTTTTGGTATAAAATGTACATGAAGGGTTAATTTATAATTTTTTAATATTCATTTTCAAGTTAATTGTTATATTATATTTTTCTACAAACAATTTATTTAGTATAAGAAATTAATTTTTGTAATATTCAGATTTTAGAAACGAAATTGCTTTATTTCTCTTAATTTAAAGATGAATTGGATGTTAAAGGAATTATTAAAAAATTTAAATATTTGTGGGATAAAAAAAAAGAGATATAAAGTATTGTTATACAAAATTATAATCACTATTATTTTTTTTGTAACTAAATTTCCATTCATTATATTTATATTGTATCGTAAATAAATTAATTAATTTCAACATAGTTCACACACAATTCTTAAAGTGGTGTAGGAGTGAGGAAAATTTAAAATAAAATTGAACCAGGGAAGGAAGATTTCAAAAGGAAAATTAAAGGTAAAAAAATACGATTAATTAATGACATATTTATGCTATTTTTTAGTAATAATTTTAATAGTATTTCTTTATTCAATTAATTTCAGTAGAATATTTAAACTTTTTTTGATTAAATTTTTGTTGTACTTTGTAATGTATAATACACAGATAAACATGTGGAATTTTTTAATAGATAACATATTGTTAATAGTAATAGTTCTTGTGTTGATGATTTTAGTTTTTGTATTAGGTATAACAATAGGGAGAAATACGGTATATATTAAGATAGAAAGTAGAGAATTAGAAAAATTGAAAAAATTAATAAGAGAGGAAGATAATATAAGACCTATAGATAATTACCGACAGATAAGGTGCTATAGTTGTGGTCAACCGGATCACATGTCGCGAGAGTGTGAATTAGCCAAAGATTTAAAGTGGGCGAGATGTGGCAAGAATGGCCACGTAGCAATAAAATGTAGAGTGAACAATTTGTTAATGAGATGCAATATATGTGGAAGAAGGACACACACAAGAAAGGTGTAAGAACTGACTAGAAAAAGATTTTGATTTTTATGATAATTTTGTTAATAATAAATTTTTGAATTTTGTTAATTATAAATCATGTGATAAAAATAGAAGTATAGATAAAAAGAGAGATTTAAAGATAGAAAGTAGAAATTTTGAAATATTAGAAGATTTTTTAAAGAAGAATAGATGCCCGAGAATCAAGATAAAGATTGAGGAAGTAGAAATATGTTTTTTATTAGATACAGGAGCTGAGATGAAAGATAAGAGCCAAACAATTAGATGGTAGCGTTGTGAAAATTTTAGGTTAGTATAGGATAAGGTTGCCTGGAATTAATAAAAATATAACTTTATGGATAACTACGTTACTTTTAAGAATTGTGTGTGTTAGAGAAAGAAATACAATGTTGAGATTAATTAATTTATTTACGATACAATATAAATATAATGAATGTGAAATACAAAATAAAAATATGAAATTTAGTTACAAAAAAAATAATAGTCATAATTTTGTATAACAATACTTTATACCACTTTTTTTTTATCCCACAATTATTCAAATTTTTTTAATAATTCCTTTAACATCCAATTCATCTTTAAATTAAAAAAAATAAAGTGCAATTTCGTTTCTAAAATCTGAATATTACAAAAATTAATTTCTTATGTTAAATAAATTGTTTGTTAAAAAATATAATATAACTATTAACTTGAAAATGAATATTAAAAAAATATAAATTAACCCTTAATGTATATTTTATACCAAAAAAAACAAAAACCATTTGCATAACAAAACACAATTTTGCATAATTTAGAACACCCCAACACTTAAGCATGTTTTTCACCTCCTTCGGAGTCCTTAGCAAGGATGAAATTACTGACTCCTGCCTCTGAAGATAACGTCAACAAAGAGTTATTGTTTGTCACATATATATTCGGGCACACTCGCATCACATGGTTTCCTTCACACGACCAGCATTCTAACCTTCTTTTCTTAACCATCTCTGATTCCCATTGTCTAGCGGCCACCATCTGTTTTGGGGGTCCTGTAGCATCTCTCCGTACCTATGTTGTACTTCTTCTTTTGCGGCATTCAACCGTTTTCTGAATATTCCACCGAACCATCGATCTCCCTAATTTCTATCTTTATAATTCTATTTCATACTCTAAAATAGGAGGCCATCTATAACAGAATTAAACTATACATATATATATCCTTACCCACATATTATTTTTAACCCTAAATATAATTTTTCTTTTAAATTTAACCTTACTGGATTCTCAACATTTATGATTCTCATAATTCTCTCAGACTTGTTAAAAACAAATCCATTATGTATATCATTACCACATAAAATTATGATTCTCATAATTATGACTTGTTACAAAAACAAATCAATTATGTTTATCAACAATTTTAAAACGCCCTCAGTTATGATTCTCATAATTTTACCCAACTTGTTAAAAAAACAAATCAATTATGTCTATCATCAACACTTAAAATTAAGATTCTCATAATTATCACTTGTTACACCAAAACAAATCCATTATGTTTATCATCAATTTTCAGACTCTGTTATTCCTAACCTACACACCTAGATCTTAATTGTTTAATATGTTTTGAATATATTCCATCTTGTCCTTTAATTTATACTTCTACCTTTTTTCTTTCTATATTCTTCCTTACTATACCCTTCCCCCATTTAATTGATTGGATTATCAAAAAGTAGAATCCACACTAAACTTTTAACTTTAAATTTCTCACAATATGTAATATCCTTTTGTTTTATTTCTTCTTTCAAAAAATCCAATTCAGTTTTTCTACCTATAAACATCTCTTCTGGCGAATTCCCTTTGCTAGTCTTAGTATTGTTATATTTTAATAATAATAACCACCATTTTCCTTCTCCATACTTTTCTTTTTTTAACCAACTTTTAACTATAGCTACCATTTGTTCAGCTTGTCCATTACTTCTTGGATAATGTGGTGGAGATAATAAATGTTCAATTTTCCATCTATCACAAAACTTTTCAAATGCTCTGCCTTTGAACGCTGGACCACCATCAGATACTAACGTCTTCATTAATCCATATTTACTTACAAAATCTTTTTCCTTATCCAAAGCTACTTTTGTTGATAGGCCTGATAACTGTTGGCAATCTATCCATTTTGTACCTGCATCTACCATAATAAAATATTTCTTTTTTTCATATTCTAAAAAATCTACGTGTATTCTTTCACATGGAACATTTGTCTCTGGTCATTTATCTTCCTTGTTTCTTGCTGGTACATTTGCACACATATTACATGTTCGACAACTCTTACCTAATTCTTCTATTTCACTATTCATTCTGGGCCATCAAATGTATTCTCTAGCTTTATTCTTCATTCTTTCTATGCCTTGTTGTCCTATATGTATAACGGCTAAGACATCTTTTCTTAACTTATTTGGTATCACTAAACGATATCCTCTCAATAAACAATTGTTTTCTATATTTAATTTATTCCTTATGTTTTTAAAGGCTTTGTCTTCACTTTCATTCTGCATCTCCCTTCAAACAAGTTCTAATTCTTATTAATTCTTCATCTCTTTTGGATATCTCATCCACTATTTTAAAAGTTATAGGTTTTTCTCTTATATCTATTTTCAAAGCTCTAACATTAATATTTAATTCCTCTTCTTCAATATATTCTAAACTATTGTTGCTGGATCTTTATCTTCAATGTCTTTATTAAATAATCTCGATAATATATCTGGTAAACACTTTTGTTTACCCGCTCTGAATTTTATCTCAAAATCGAAAATACCAAACCATTTTTGTAATCTCGGTGTAATCATAAGTTCTTTATTGTCCTTTTTAAACAAATCTACCAACGGCTTATGATCCGTATATAATAAAAACTTTCGGCCTAATAAATATTCACTACACTTGGTCAAACCAAATTTAACTGCTAATGCCTCCTTCTATATTGTTGAATAATTTTTTTAGTATTGTTAAACTGTCTTGACAAAAATAAAATCGGTTTTATCAACAATCTGTAACAAAGCTCCTCCTATACCTTCATTAGATGCATTTACTGCTAAAATAATATCTAGTTTCTCATTAAAACAATTCAAAATCGGTTTCTCTACCATCTTTATTTTCAATTTTTCAAAACTTTCCTTCTGTGCTACTCCCATTCAAAATTTTTATTTTTCTCCAATAATTCATAAAATGGTGTAGCCATTTCTGCATAATTTTGTATAAACCGATGATAATAATTCTTCGCTCCTAAAAATACTTGCACTTCAGTT